TTTATGTATATATATATATATATATATATATATATATATATGTGGAATTATCTTTAGGAAAGAAAGATGTGTACCTTCCACAGTTATCAATGGCTCTCATTGTGCTGAAATATGTCATTGTTAGACCTCTGCTGTGTGGAATGCACTGCACACACGTTACAGAACTGGTCATTGTTGCTGTACTTGGCACAACCAAGGCTCCGATCCAGTGTAGACTGTTGCCACTATCACACCACTAGCTCTTTCTCAGATTCCTCTCTGTATTATCATGCATTGTGCTCTCTCTTCCCCGGGGAGTCAGGCAATGTCCGTTTCTGGGACTGGATGGGAGCCTTGGCTGTACTCTGACGGGTACGGTTTAAGAAATCTAGTTCTCTTTTATATGCATTCCTCATATGGTTGGCAAAGATGACTTCCTGACTCTTCCAAACAAGATGCAGAACCCTCCCCTGCTTGGGCTTCTCTGTGCAGTCAGACAAGGGCTGGAAGACTAGGACTTGTGACAAGCTGCCACGATTCGTTGCGTTACACTCAGCGCTCTAGGACTTTTCAGTCACGTCATGTCTGCTCATAAAGCGAGTGCGAGGGGAAAAGGACACAGGAGGGGGGGACAATGCAAGACTGGAGGAGGGCGGCCGTCTACCGTGTAAGATCATCTGTGATAGACGTGCTTCCAGGCCTTAGTACTGTTGAAGGTCGGTGATATAACAGAAGAGGCTGGTGGTAGAACTCTGGGTACAGATTGTTATATATATATATAATTACACGCACATGCACTCACTCTTCCAGGTTTAGGAACTCTATTAAAGTAGAAGTACAGCCCAACATATATGCACATTTCCAGTTTAGAATATTCACATGTCATATTGCATCACATATCCCAAAAATAAGCAGATTCTTGCTCATGCTTATACCGTATGAAGACAGTGGGAGGAGCCATGCAAATTATTTCTTTATGCCTCAACAACTAAATGCACATCCAGAACGTTTGGTGTACAGTGCAAATATAGCCTATATTTGAAAGCCATTTATTCCAGTATAACTATTTTATTCTTGACACACTTGAGTAGTAATGATGGTTGCTATAGCCCATTTACAATAGTAGATCTGAGTGGTTTTTTTTTTTATATATACGGTTTTTATGCTTTTTCCTCATCTCAGTGCTGCTGATCTCCTCCACCCGCTTTCAGCCATTTCATCACATTATTGCTCCAGATCAGCTTTCTTATAGTAACAACGTAGATCATTTGTATCTAGTGCTTGAAATGTATCATTTAACATCGGGCCAGGCTATACAGCTGTCAAAACGAATAGCAAAGGTGAGTCACTGCTACCTCTCTGCTATCTTCAGCTGTCAGATACGGGATCGCTATTTAGCGAACCTGCATCTGAATGTAAAGGCTTCATTCTTTCATTAATGAAAGAAAGAAGCTTTTACAAAAGCTTAACTATTTCATTAATGAATGCCTCAATACTGAGGCATTCCTCAATGACTGGAACTGCTGAGAATCATCAGTTACCAGCATTACAGAGGCTGATATAACTCGGCACGTACAGTGTACGTGGCCAGTCATATAGCCACTTTGTGACGGGACGTACACTGTACGTCTCCCGTCACGAAGGGGTTAAATGGTGCCCCTCCTAACATTCCTACCAGACCAGTCCAAACGTTTCTTTTAAAAAAAATGTCTTTTTGTTTTTTCTTTTTCTCTTAATCTAGGTATTTCTGGAAAGGGGCCAGCAGCCGGAAATGCAGACTCTCCAGCAGGAGCTTTTGCCCGAATTTCGGACGCCATCCCACCATTGCCCCCACCACAAATGGCGTCAGGTGATGGCGATGAAGACGCGTGGGAGTCTTAAAGGCAGTTTTTACATTCTTGCTGGTAGAAGTGGCACCACCTGGCGATTTAGATCGGATAACTGGACCTTGAATCATAACTAAGCTCATTTTCTGAATGGAAAACATTACCATAGCGCCAATCATTGGACTACATTTTGTTGGACACTCCCAGAAGTGCTGAAGCCAGCTGTTGGCTGTGTAAAGACTTATCAGATTAGGGAGGTTCAGGGGAATATTTTTCTAACCCGAAACATTGACCATGAAAACAGCCACCACCTCTGATCTAGCAAACCTGTCATAACTTGTTCTTTTCCTGTCTGCCTTCTAGAAATGTATGAAAACAATGTACATGGTATATCAGTAGATGGAATAAATATGAAATATTTGAAGTATATGGGTTTTCTTTCAGTGCTGCAATTTCTGTGCATCATCGATTTTGTTCTTGGATTTCTCCTTACGTTGACTTTAAGCAAGATTCCTCTCTACATTGCTGCTTGAGCTAGTCCCTACATAGCAGGTATCCAGATTGGCCTTTCCTCAGCTTGACTTTGGAATGCTGTACCCAGACCGTGCTGGACTGGACTTTTGGGGGGACTAGCCTGGAATGTGTCCTTTGGCTACTAGATTCCATTATGGCTCTCTCTAGTAATTGCATTGCTGCTGAAGGTTAGTTGCAGAGCACTTTCCGGGTCTAGAACGGTGGCACTGCCTCAGCACTTGGCCTGTCTGTGACGACTCGCTCTGTTAAATGGGCAGGTTGGGTTGAGCATCAGGATCTACCTTGCTTTATGCTCCAATGAGTGCCTTTCAACTTTGCTGCTGCCGCCGGTTTTATAGTAGAAAGGGTGAATGTTGAGGGTCTAAGTGCTCTTCCACACCTTCCCCTGCAGAGTTCATCTCTGATCTCCCCAAAGCCCTTAGAACAGACAGGGCCTCCAGTTGGACTGACCATTTCTTACTCAGAATTAGGTCACCGCAGTCTACTCCCACCATCACCTCAGCATTACAAGTAGTCATTTTGTCCCTTGTTGATGCAGTACGCACTGCCCTGCATTGGGAGGATTAGCCTGCTGTCTTTAGCCTTGGGTCTTTCAGAGCCCCTACAGATAAAAAGATCTTTCTTTACACCCTGCTAGTTGGGTTCTTGGGTTCCTTTCACCCTTGGCCCCTCTTGCTACAGTTCCTGTGTTAGCGAAGCATTTTGCATTTGTTTTGTTGCAGCGAAATTCCTTGGGAACTTGTTTATTTCTACTGCTGATCTCTGGTTATGGAGGAGAGGCCCTTGCATTTGGCTGCACCTCTGAACCTGCACTGCAGGTTAAAGTCATCAGCGGGGGGCCCAGTGTATCACTATTAGCGTGCAGAACACTCCAGTCTCCTGTTCAGCTATCCTATCAAAATGTCTTCCAGGTGCAATGGTAGATCACCAGATGGGAGCAATCAGCATTACTGGAATCCTCCGCCTCAAACCAGGTGAGGAGAACTAAGTTTGATGGGAAGGATAGCGTAGATCAGGCTGGACTGATTTACCAAAGTCCCCAAGGCATCCACTGCGAAAGGCTGGCGATCCCTGATCCTGGTAACAAACCTATCCAGTTTGTTGTTGAACCTGGATGCCAGGAGGTCCATGTCCAGCGTCTCCCACCTGAAACAAAGGGCTCTGAGGAAGTCCACCTACTACATGGTCCTTGATAACAGGAACATACCCTACAGAGACCGTTCAAGTCCAGATAAGTTCAAACAAGAGATAGCTGGGTCTACCACAGGGACAGAACATTTTTGTTAAGGAAACCCTCTTCAAAAGGGTATTGCTGAGTGAACCATTTAGGAGAAATAAACTAATGGGTTTACACTGGTTGTAAAAGCTTGTACACAGGGAAAGTTTTGGCAGGTTTGGGCATTTTTAGACTAGTGACTTTTGGCAAGGCCAACACAGGTGGTTCTACCTGCAAACAATTGTGCACCTTGTCCACAAGGACAAAAAGTGTGTCCTTCAGCCTAGGAGAGATGTGTCAGGAGACAGGTCTTCCTGGGCTGAGTCCACGGAACAGCCCCTTCTCCTTCATCTTCTTCCTCAGGGAGTACAAAAGCAGACAGAGGAAGGTCAGAGGGAGACTCTTAATAGGTTAGACATTTTCCACAAACGCCATGCTCCGCTCCTATGATCCACCATTGCCTGAGACAGATGTTCAGGTACTTACTACTGTAGAGGCTGGAGGAGATCTGTGTACAAACACTGCAGGCAGAAGCAGTGACCTGGTGCAGAGATTTGAACCCTGTGTAGAATCTCAGAGTCGTAGCAACGTGTTGCCAGCTCAGGGCACAACAGGAGTAGGAAAAGGGCGGGTGCATACAAAGTGCATTACCCAAGGCTGTGTAAGCACCAGGTGGCTCCAGTCTATGGAACTTAAAGAAATGGTGCCAAAACAGGGTTTTGCACAGCACCTCCAGCTGGTACTAGACCTGACCCTCATGATGGCAGTAATCAGGCAGGAGTAGCAGTAATTTTAAGAGGAACAGGCCCCATCCAATGTTTGCCCACCTGGTGGGCATACCTCCCCAAGGGGGTCTCCAGGGACAGGATTCCACCAAAATGGACCACAGCCCTGGACCTACATAGCATACGGTGGCAATTACAGGTACTGCATAAAGTGCCAAGGTGAATGCCCCACTCAGAATCCAGTGCCCTGAGCACATTACAGGCCGGCCTGCCAAGGCTGTGCCGAGAATACCAATGCAGATATCTGCTTTTAGGTGCCACGGTGGCTATGAGCAGTTTAGAGAAAACTTGCTAGAAGAGTCTTCCATAGAACAGTGCAGAAAATGATGTTCTTCTATGATAGCAGAGAGTAGGTGCCCATTAGCTAAGGACACTAGCAAAAAAAAAAAACTGTTGCAGACTGGAAGTCAGGGGGAATATACCGGGCTGTCCTTGCTGCTTTGATTTGCCAGTGTCCAATCACCTGAGTGTAGTTACATAACTGGTTCTAGAAAAAAAAACTCCTTGTATGTTTGTGATGTATGATCAAGAACTACGGCTTTGTTTACATCCGCATGTCTTCGGTACACTTGTACTCTGCATAGCAAGCCTGGGAACAACAAAGAGGACACCCTCTGCTTGTGAAATCTGTTTTCCATAATTGCCTGCTATCAAACAATGTGGAAAGGATAGATTACTGCTGTATACCATTAAGTTATAACCCTGATCTGTAGAGAAGCTTAAAAATGCATAATTCAGACAAAAAAAATTCAGTCTATCAGATAACTAGATGGAGAAAAAAAAGTAGAAGCAAATATGGAAATTGCAACTAACGGCACCAAGAAAGATGAATTTATCCCTAATTCCTTCCACTCCTTTTCTATATTAGGATCACAGCACCCCTTGTGCCTATTTCTCCTAAGACCTTTCACTTTTTAAGGCGTATTGACTTACAAGGTTGACAAACAGTGTCCTACTACCACCCCTTCCAGTTTGGATGTGATTATATTCAGCTTCCCATAAGATTTTGAGACTCTGCTACATCACTGACTATTGGAAATTGTCAGTATCCTAGATTCTGTCAGTTCCTGTTACTCCAAGTGTCGCCTCCTCTCTAGTCTGATTACAGCACATACTAACCCATTTAGCACTTTTTTAGGACTGTGGGATTGATAGGAACTCCATTCAAATACTTTCTTTCATAGTGTCCCTCAGTTCTATTTTACCTCTCATCTTGCCCGAAGATACTTAAGGAACTAAGCGAGGTTATAACAAGACCGTTATTCCTCATTTTTAAGGACTCTCTAGGCTAAGAGTGTGGAGTCGTTCAAGAAGCTTTTGGACGATTTCCTGAGAAACGGTAATGTACAGGGGTACAAGTACTCCTAATAACGAGATGACTCAGGGATCTATGCACACACACACACACTATAGGTTGGACTTGATGGACATGTGTCTTTATTCAACCTCAAATACTATGTAACTATGTCTTGGGCAGTTGCACTTTGCTTTGTTTACAACTGCTCAGAGCACCATTTACAATGGTAATATTCTCAGTCACTTGTCATGTGATTGAGGAGTTACCATGGAAAATGATGCTCTGAGTGCAGGAGTGTGCTGATCTACACAGGACATGGACCACAGAGCACCAACTGCCTTCATAAGGCCTCATTCACACTACTATCAGCCGGCCCGTACAGATCCGTGCTGCGTGTACCGCCGTATCGGGCCGCTCACGGGAAGGACAGGTGCTCAGTGTGATTGTACGCAGCAGCCTGTTCTTCTCTATGGGAGTATGCGGCCGTACACTCACCCCAACTGCACGTTCGTGCGGGTGTCCGTACTAGTACACTGACAGGATGGATCCTGTCTGCGCCCGAGCACAGACACCCGCGTGCAGTTCGGGTAAGCGTACAGCGGTGTACTCCAATAGAGAAGGACAGGCTGCTGCGTGCAATCACACTCGGCACCTATCCTTCCCGAGAGCTGCCTGATACGGCGGTACACGCAGCACGGATCTGTCTGGGCCGGACATGGATGGAGAGGTCTTTGAGGCAATAGAAGACAAACTTAACATAGGTCTCTGTTCAAAAATAAATAGTTTAACATAAAAAAAGGGCATAGGGTCTCTAAGTCTTTGAACAAAACCATTTATTATAATAAATAACCAACAGACGTTTTTGTAGGAGAACAGCATATACAATCTTGAATCAGTAGAGGATCAGGATGTCAATGTACAATTTGCCTTCTTCATCTGGAAAAACTACAAGGGAAGAAATGAGAAAACATTGGAAGTCAGCAGGCTGATTGAGAATTAGTCCCAGCACACTGTCCTGAATACAGGAACTCTGACATTTGATTTCATAGAACAAATCATCCTCCCTTTAGATTTCAGTGCAATTTAGAAACAATGAATCTGTTAAGCATTCAGCAAGGATTTGTAAAAAGAAGGATCCGAAAGAGAGTGGGAGATGAAGAACATTCTGCTGATCCTTGTCTGGTATTGGCCTGCTCTATAAGGACTGGTGGATAGAACGTCACAACCCTTTCCACCTTCCTTCTATGTCTCCTGTCTGTAGAACCTGTCAGTCACTCTCAGACCAGGTACACAGCGGCTTTAGCTTGTAAAACCATTGTTGACAGCAATCATTTGCAAAGCTTTTAGGCAGCTTTATTGAAGCCTTTAACCCTTTCACAGCCACCAACATTAGGGTTATGTCAACAGCAGAACAGAGCTACACATAAACAAGCTGCAGGCCGCTACAGCAGATGGCAGCTTGTTTCATATTTCCTCCTGGCAGAAAAGCGCAGGATTTTCAATACACGGGCTCTCGGAAAGTGAAGTAGATGTACAATTCTATTTACTGGTGGGCTTATTAGTAAAAGTGACCTTGTGGTCACTTTAAAGAGAATGTCCCTGATTGGGCAAAATGACCGCTTCTCTTACAAGCCCAACCACTGATATTCTCCTTTGCCAAACCCAACAAGCACTTCCCGGTGTTTCTGGGTATAGGAGAGCATGTGATCTTCTCCCCTTCCTCCCAGGATGTAGGGCTTGGGCCTAAGTGGTGAAGTACCATAACATTCTGACTAGGGATGCACTGATACCAAGTACCGTACTCTGTACAAGTACAGATACTTTTCCAGCTCCAAGACTAGACTAGAGAAAAATTCAAAAGTTAGGGGGCCGCTGTCATTTGTAAGGAGCACACGGAGCTCCTGGGATTTGTGCATTTCTGTTTTAATGTACGATTTTGTTTTTATAAATAGAAAAGGATGCACCGATACCAGTTTTGCGAGTACGAGTACTGGTACTTGCCCAAGTACTCACAGATACAAGTACTGATGCATTTTTGTTTATTGTCATGTGACAGATTTTCTAAAACAATATCAACTAATGATTTCAGGACAGTGGTGGGGCGCCAGAACCAGGTCCCAGCTGCAACCTCTGCAACCCTGGTAGTTCTCATGAAAATGCCAAGTATCGGCACTGGTACTCAAAGTATCGGTGCATCCCTAATTCTGACCCCTCCCCATTCCATTCAAAAAAAAGAGGCTTTGGTTGGTGTTCCGATTTAAAAAAGAACTCCAGGCATGTAAACAATTACTCCTGCACTGCAAGCGTTAAGTGCTTGTTTTTGTCTAGGATCTAAAATTAAAAAGATACACCCACCTGATCCTGAGGCCCGTGGTAGTGACCGCTCACATCTGCCCCCTTCACTGCGGCTATGGAATGTCCCACGGCATCCTCACATTCAATGCAAGTCAATAGATGTGATGATCCTTAGACCACCATGAGCAAAGAAGAGCCGTCGGAGACTGGTCTAGCATCAAGGCGGAACTGATGATTAGGTGAGTATATCTTTTTGTTACTGAGACCCTAGACCAATATGAGCACTGAACCCTTGCAGTGTTGGGGTACCCCCTACTGCAAGGGTTACTTTTTAACATGGCCGGAGTTGTTCTTTACAGTAAAAGGAAACGGTCACAAACCTTGCGTATTGATGCAAACGCAGGCCCAAAAGCTGGTTTGATTTCTGTGCTGCTGCGGATCCACTGTGGCAGCTTGGAGAGGATGGCAGGCCGGGAGTACCTGTGGTCTACAAGTACAATGGTGGCATAGTCACCTCGGTGCCGAATCGCCCGGCCTAAGGAGTCAAATAAAAAGTTATGTTCCACACAAATGTATGAGGTTTATTTTTCATGAAGATCTTTTTTCCCCAGAAAAATGTTTTATGATTGGATCTCACAGAATTCATTGCTAATGTCTCAATGTTCTCCCTTTAATCTATCCTGTTATATCATTATTTAAGGGGCACAAAGATGACTTTTTGCACCTGTGTCAGAAAATATGTATGGGCTGATTCAAACTGGACCGAGCATCATATGTATATTTGGATGTCAGTGTAACACTTCCAGGTGTTTATGACCTCATACTGTGATCACAGTAGTTCCCCTGACAATGTCTTGATCTACTTTTCTCTGCCAGCAGTATGGAGCCATCTTGGTTCAGGCATTACGCAGGGTCATCAACTGACTGGACTAAGATGCTGGCTCAGAGATGACACAATTGTATAAATCCTGGTGTCTGTGCAGTTGTTGGCTGTGTTAGCAAATGTCTGCCACAGATCAGCCACCACTACAACCTCTCACTTTGTGAATTGCTGCAAAGTTACAATGTTGCCGTCTGATCACGGGAGGAGGATACTGAGTAAATACTTCCTCCTGTCTGCATCAGACTGATGACACCATCTTAGCCTAGGCAACGCCACAGACTGGAACTCAAGGAGAACTTTTTATTGATAATAGGTGGAGCTTTTCAGAAAAATGACACTTTCTGTATATTGTGATATGTCAGGAATGTTTTTCATGTAGACTTGTAAAGGTGCTGATGGGTCCAATGTGATAAGGTAATTAGCAACGAATGCTTAGCCTGCAGATACCAAGTAGCAACCAGTTTCATCGCTCTAACTAGGAATGCACAAATACAATTTTTTCCGGTAACGAGTACCGATCTTTATCTTTCGGTACTTGCCGATACCGAAGCCGGCTCCATGCTGTTTGGCCAGCTCAAAGCTGATTGGCCAGGAAGCCGGCTCCATGCTGTTTGGCCTGCTCAATGCCGATTGGCCAGGGCGCCGTGTCATTACCGACCGCCCTGCTTCCTGATCGCCTGGGAAGCAGACTCCATGCTGTTTGGCCGGCTTAATGCTTATTGGCTGGGAGGCCGTTATCGGCCCGGATATTGATACTAGTATCGGTACATCCCTAGTTCTAACTATTTCATGTAAGTGAAGAAAAGTGCAATCTAGTGATTTGAGTTACCGCGTATGGTACATGAACATCTGGAAACAAGTATTGATAGGAATATTTCTGCCCGCTCAGTAATGTGGCATTCTGGATACAAATCTTGTGTATGACACTTACCAATGGACTGATTGACGGCTTTCATGCACAGGTTCTCCAGGAGGGCTCTGCCTGCAGATACCCCATTTGTCTTGGGCTGGGTAATTGAAGAAAAAAGATGAGACATGGAAAAACAATGAGATATGGAAAGAATAGCCTTCCCACCTCTACCCTGTGGAGTACATCCCCCTAATGCTTGCCTATAATCTATATAAATAACACATGAAGTTATATGTACACGGGCATTTGTTTGCATCAGAACCCATTTGCATCCATACAAGTCGATGAAAATACAGAAGCAGCTTAGACTGATGTCAGAAGAATCTCAAACACAAGTTTAAAGCACCTGAAACATGCTGCATTTGCCCATCTACATGCACCTATTTAGGAGTCTCCTTACCAATGTTTTATCGAGATATGACATTTTTTCCTGTAGCTCCGGTGATCGGATATTCGGGTACGGCATGCCAACCATCACAACACACCTGAGACAAAGCCACATAGATCATTAAGAAAACAGTCACATGATAACTGAAGACAAAGCAGGGAAAAGTGACAGGTTCTCTTGCTAACCTACCCCCACCGATGCCTTTATCATGCTCCTACACTGCCCTGCTCATCACAGGAAGTATTGAACCTTTGGGTAACACTGCCTCCTACAGGAGGACTGGATACTGGGAAACAAAAAAACTGTAGCCAAGTCCAGGGTATAACCTCTCGTACTAAGAGCATGCCTCTGTTTTGTTTTTAGCAAAGCGGAGCGAGCATGATCATAAACACAGAGGGTGGGGCAGTAAATACACAAATACACTGTTTAGTATCTCATTCATTGAGAGGCAGGAAGTATTTAACCGAAATGTCCAACTGAGGAGGTGAGTAACACAGCAAACAATCAATAACAGGCTCAAGACATCAGATATAATGAGCCTGAAGAGATCTGGAAAAAGTATTAAGAAAAGCAAAAAAAACTGCTGGGGGCCTCCATTGGGTGAGTCTGGAGTTGGGCTTTAACGCCATTTATTTATAGATATTCTCCAAGCTGATGAGAACTTGCTTATCTGACGTACACTTTTCTTTCAGGGCTGCAGGATTGTTACCAAAAACATAACAAATGTTGGGTTCTTGCACTGGCTGATTGCTTGTTGCAGGTCAGTAACACACCACATAGTAAAGAATAAAGATGTTGATAGTCCTGGAACTTTTACTTTTAAAAAGAAAGTCAGCAATGGCCGTCCCCATATTCTAACAGGTTCCCTTTAAGGCCTGCTATAGCCCCCTTCTGTCTGCATACTGCATGCCTGTTACCGTGACAACGCAAGGAAGATTAGGTATTAAAGACTTCATTTTCTTCCAGCAACTCAGAACATCACTATAAGGCTGGGACAAATCCCTGGAGCCATTGTGCTGATAAATATTATAGCCGTTTCCTTTTCTTTTCCTGTCATAGCCGTTTCCTTTTCTTTTCCTGTCATAGAAAACGCACAATCCCTGGGTTCTAGTCAATGGGCTCTCAGATGACAATTACGGGCTCCAGAGCTTTAAAATGTATATGTGTAGTCTCATTTTTAGTTGTATTTGGATTGTCAGAGGAATGGTAAATCCCCCCCCCCCAATAATTTGTTTTATCTTGCTGTGTTCTACTGTGGGATTCTCCAAAGTGAAGGAAAAATGTGCTTCTTAGGTGTCCCCATGGGAGGTATGCCCTCACCTTTCTGTCCCAGTGACAATGTTTATCATGACCAATATAGAGAAGGCAAATCTCCTAAGCAAAGACACAGACAGCAATAAAACCCCAACAGGGCAGGTATACGTTTTAAGGCTATTTTTGAATTGTCACATATAAGCACACACTGGTCCTGTGTGGCTCTATACTGTTTAGCAGTTCCTCTGTCTGTGTTTTTATCACATAACACTAGGGCTGCTACAACTAATTGACTAAGTCGATTATAATCGCTGATGGAAAACGTTGTAGACGTTTTCCATCATCGATTAGTTGGCCTGGTCGCGGCTCCATGCACAGATTCTCCTCCCAGCCTCACCTCTCACAGACTCGTCGCGCGCTGCTTCTCCTCCCTGCCTCACCCACCTCTGAAGGACTCGCCACTGCCCACCTATCCATGATCGGCACGATGAAGCAAGGAGGAGCAGGCGTGGGGGGAGAGCAGATGCCCTCAGACAGGCCCATGATCTAAGGGAAGAGGCAAGTTGCTTGAAGACTGCTGAGTAAGACTGTCTGCACCTTCCTCCCACATGGTGCTCTATAATGTATTGCTGGGATAGTGGGATTTGTATTCCTCTATAGCTGGTGGTACATTGGGCTATATATTATACAGCGGAATGTACCATCACCTATAGAGGAATACAAATCCCAGCAATACATTATACCCTGTATGTATAACATATTGCTGGGATTTGTTGTATTCCTCTCTAGCTGGTGGTATTCTACATTGCGCCGCTGTAAAATGTGCTGTTGCTGAGATTTGTTTTCTTCCTCTATAGCTGGTGGTATTCTGCATTGCGCTGTATAATCATTATACAGCGGCGCAATGCAGAATACCACCAGCTATAGAGGAATACAACAAATCCCAGCAATAATACATTATACAGCGCAATGCAGAATACCACCAACTATAGAGGACTACAACAAATCCCTGCAATAGTACATTATACCATAATGTACTATTGCTGGGATTTGTAGTCCTCTGTAGCTGGTGGTATAATGTGCTATATTGCACACCACACTTTTTTTTTTTACTTCTGCCGCTCCAAGCTTGCCAGCAATTCAGGTTAGGAAGCTGCAGACTCTGGTTGGATCATCTTCTCTATAGCAGTTTATGAATTAAAAACAATGGCAGAAATGTGATTTCAGTTTTGTCAGCACACATACCGGCCCAGGTCATCAGAAAAGTTGATTCCTTCACTCATCTTCCCTCCAACTACAGAAAAGAGAAGGGCGCCGGTTAGGGGCCCAGCAGACTGGCTTGAGAGCTGTCAGGAAAATATGATAAGAAAATATGATAATAAATCGGGGAGGGGATTTTATCAAAACTGGAGCAGTCAAAATCTGGAACAGATTTGCACTGCAACCAATCAGCTTCTCAGTCTCATTTTCAAATATTACCTGAGCAAACTGAAGAGAGATACTGATTGGTTGCCATGGGCAACTGCTCCAGATTTTGTGTGCTCCAGTTTTGATAAATTCCCCCCTCTATGTGTTTTAACAGAAATACACATCATTCATAGTATCTGTTATAGAAATTCTGACCTTTAAGAAATGTCTGCGACACCCACTGGCATGCCGGACAGGGATGAAACAGAGTTTAAAATATGGTAGCTTTCATCAAAGAGGCAGGAATTATTTCATTTCTGGTTACAGTTTTTAGAGAACCAGCTTAACAATTTTAAAACATCATTTGAAAATGTAAAAGGGAAACGGTGCAAGAAGAATATGTACAGAAAATATATTACAAGAAAGGCCAATAGCAACAGTAAAATAAGAAAACGTTTTTGATCAATCTAATGTATTAAAGTCATCGCCTCAAATGAATAACCCTTAGTGATCCAACATGGTTTAGATGGAAAATGAGAGCCGTCTGTTGCCAATTCCAGCAGCTTTTTGTTGACCCTCTAGGGCAGTGTTTTTCAACCTTTTTTGTGCAAAGGCACACTTTTTTCATGAAAAAAATCACGAGGCACACCACCATTAGAAAATGTTACAAATTTTTACCTCTGTGCCTATATTGACTATATATAAAGATCCAGGGGTTGGGGACCACTGCTCTAGAGGGTTTCACTGAGCCAAACCCACCAAAGCACAAGAGTTAAGGGGTGTTGGGTAGGAGAGCGAAGTGTTTATTTATACTTCAGCGGATCCACCTTTAATGTCTCTTTTCTAACTATATATTTACAGATGTTGCACTTTTATAGTCTGCCAACCAACATTACTGCACAGAACATAATTACCATTTGATAGACATCAAACATGGATTTCATGTATGCCTTCCTCAGAAAGGGTGATGTGTCTCGCCCACCTCTGGGGCATTATAGCATAGGCATGTGTGGGATTAAACTGATTGGAACTCTGTTATACATATGCAAGACCTGTTAAGCTCCGCTAGAGGTTTTATGGCATACTGATTTTACAATGGTGCTTAATTAAAAGTCTCTGGTTAAATGCTGTTTGCACTGGTTATTAACTCTCTGGTTTGCCAGATGTCTGCTAATGGGTTTAATCACAAAGAAGTTACCAGCACACCATAGCATCTTCTTTAAAAAAAAACAAAACACACCTTTATTGAAGGTTCAATGTTGTTATTGCAATTCACAGCTTTGTACAATTGTATAATTAGATTTCACTAAGGGGTTTAATGACAACAGGTCTGTGCCTTGCCAAAGATGATATGACTGGAATGTTATATATGATGGCCTGCTTTGTGTCTGTGGCTGACCGATCAATCTGAGGATTTTCCGATTTGTGCATTTTGTAAAAATAAATTGTGTTCCTATGAATACCTCTTCTCCTCACTGAGTTTGGGGTACATGAGACCTCATTATTGTCGCACTAGATATCCTGAACTGTCCAAGAAGCTTCATGAGATGAAATCGAGAAAAAGAAGAATCAGTGGCAGTTCTTTTCCTCACCTTGATGCAGCGCGAGTATTCGGACAACACTTGTTCCACCTGGTTGGCTTTCTTCGGCTCCTGAAATATCTGAATAGTGTAGTAAGACAGATCAGTGGAACCGTTCTCTACAGTTACTAAACTTCACATCTTCTACAGAAGAAAGTCTGCCTACAGGATATTGGTTTAAGATGAGGCATTGTGGAATTCATGAAGGGGGGCATTTCACCCCAAAAGAAGACAACTCGCTTAGTGTGCTCAGTGACCGCAGAAGCAAGATCTGGACTCTGCCCACATAGGAGTCTCTGGGGGGAATTATTAAAACATGTCAAACTTTGTTTCAACTAGAAAAAAATATGAGCTTTCAAAATATGTTCTTTTTTTAAGCCGTGTGTAAACAAATGAAAACTAAAAAACAAATGAAAAGACGCTGGATTTGTTCCTAGGGACAACCGCACTAGTTGAGATAGAACCTGTCCCAGACACTTTTTATTAATTCCCTACTCTGTGTCTGCCTCCTCCACTGCATTACATACACAACATGGATGCTCTAATTGCATCATGGGAGCTGAGCATTTTTTCCTTGTTCAGTTTTACTTTGCGATACAATTGCTGAGGTGGAAATGTAGCCAACGTGTAAGGAGTAGAATCCTTACTTGTGGCTGGCAGAGGCAGCATTTTGGGCACCAGGGCTGCAGAAAGAAACCCTGTGTAAGCTATGAACTGATTTTCCAGAACTTATACACAGGTAAGCTCCTTCCCCACCCCCATCTGACAGTGCTGAGCCAATCACAAGGCTTCACCACTGAACAATGTGGCAGGGGATTTATGAAAGGTGAGTATGTGCTGCTGGGAAAGTGGAGATCTAGTGACCTTTATACTTCACCCTAAATGGGAAAAGGAAAGGGTCACTTCAAATAATCTTTACTTATTTATCCCCATTACTGAATGCTGTTAGAAATACAACCAGCAAAAACAAAACACTGTAATAAAAGAGTCCACAGGTAAAATAACCACACATGATTTTGTCACAGCAGCACAAGTCACTCCACAGACCTTTTTCTTGGCTGCCAGCCGTTTCAGCTGTCCCGTCTTCTCCCAGTGGTCCAGGATGAGCTTCTGGTAGTCATAGGAAGGAAAGAAACACACGAGCCCGCCCGGGACGACGTTACACAAGTTCACTAGGATCCTTCCAGTCTCATCCATCTGCAAGGATAAAAATATAGTGTCTCCAAATGACTAAAGCTCCTGCTGGTTTCCAGGAGAAAGGGAGGCCTGCACACTATATGCAAGGGAAGAAGGACCGCCAGAACAATCAACAACGTATGACAGTCTGTTGCCAATGGCAAGCTTATTACTTTAATTTTATTATCTGTAGTAGGAATCTAAAAAGTGTTAACCCCTTTGTGACCAGAAATTCAGGTAAACAGCTAAACTATACAATAAAATACATATACTGAAGATAGTTTGTCTGCCAAAGGATTTGCATTTCTGTCCATCCACTCTTATTTCTACTGCAGTTGAGTAACACAGATAGGTCAGATTGAGTAAACAGACTGATAAGCTCTGCTCTCTCTTTCTATTGGCATGTTCTAAATACTGATGTACAGGAGATTACAAAAGGCTTTAAGTGAAATGCATTTAAATAAAACATATATATATATATATTTAACTGCATTCATATTTTTTATTATAACTGCCTGGTTTAAATCAGCTAAATACATTGCAGGTACATCAAAACAAAAGGATGACATTTATCAAGCAGCAAATTAACAACACAGAAGCAAATCAGACTGCATCTCACTTAGCAACAGGTTTACTGTGTATTTATGGCCTGTGCATCTGAATTACTGGGTAGCCAACTGTGACAGAGTTGCAAAAGTCTGTCTAAAGATTAGACAGATTTTCACTCTGAACAGACACACAATTAAGCGACCAGGGTCAGGTTAGATTACAGATAAAAGTTTATTACAAGGTAACAAGATTTGTAACCTTGTAATAAATCTGTCACATGTTCTTTCATACGGCTCCTGTTAAGCACTGCTTTGCAGTGCAACAGAACTGATAAATGTCCCTCAAGGTGCTGAAACTTACATAACTACATGCGTGTTATTTTATCAGTTTCATAGTGTCTTGAGGGAAAATATTATGAACTGTGCTTACCATTTCAGGTGAATCCCTCTTCTGATAAGTAAATTCCAACTGCTGGTTGGTTGGCCCATTGCAAAGCACTATGGGTAATATGTTCTTAGGTGGGATGACATGTCCTGTTGAAATAAAATTAGAAGGCACAGTGAGGTGGTCACAAGCGTAGTTTATCTGAGGTCAGAGAGGTAGCTTTCTATGTGTAAAGCCAAAGCTGCAAATATGTAGGGTCAGTGACAAAATGTATTAATACCACTGGATTAGCATAGAAGCCGGGCAATCAGTATTTTTAGAAAGAGGTCAGCGATGGCAGCCTGCATGTACCCTCTAGACAAGTTAATACTCACTATGTTATAAAACAGGTGTCTCAGAAGTGGAACCAAGAAAAAAATGTATGGATATGTAGCCCAAAATCCAAAGCAGATCTTACATTTCTAAAGAACCCCAGGGCACAGGTCCCCCCTACTGACAAAGCTTGGAATTCCAGTTGAGCTTACATGTCACAGACTGAAGCGAGTTCTCCATATATTCCCATAAAGAATCCACTAAAGAATTTGGGGCTACAAAGAGTACAGAAGCAGCACTATTCCAGGTTAGTATGTGCTATCAGTTCCTCTGCATTTTTACATTTTTAGACTCCCATGTGGGTTAAACGAATACTTATCTCTTTGAGCTCGATGAGCTAAGACTAACATTTTACACCCAGAAAAATTAAAATAATTAGCAGATTCCACTATCTACCTGAAATTTAGAAAAACAAAAAAAACTTTTAGGGCAGAAGTCCTTTTTAAACTCTGTAATTAGCCAGGGTTCTCACTTCACTTCAACTCTTTAATTTAGGAATGCATATGGTCCATCCTTGAATCAGATTTTGTAAAATCCTGCCCCTGGAAACTCTCATAAAAAGATTGTTCATCATCACCCAGAACTCAAATGATCATGCAACACTCCTAGACCAGCTTTTATCCAGTTGACAACACAGGGAATAGAACGCAAAGATTCCAGTTTCAGTCTTGATCAATTTTGTAGCATTCAATACAAAATCAACGTATTTTAGGGTTCTAAGGGGACTTCTTTGTCAGGGCTAGAAAATGCAGCAAAAGGGCACAACCTGCACAGTGCTCAATGTGGTTCTAGGCCAAAGCCAAATCACTGAGTGCTAAGACAAATACCATTCATCTGGACTGAAAATATATTCTTGGTGCTCTTTTCTATATTTATTTGAATCGTTACTACAGATACATCTCCAATTATTTACAAAGCGTCCCGTGAAAATATTTGTATGAGACATACCCAACTAAAACCATACCAATCTTCAAATGATCCAGTCCTTCTCACTACCCCCCAATTAACGTTTATCAAATGTCTATGAGTGCACAAAACACCTCCTGATATAAGGTTCATATACAATAAGAAAAGGCTTACCACAGGAGAACTCCACTATGCGGTCCGGGCTGAGACCGGCAGATATCAACAGCTGCTGCTTAAAATCCGATACCTACAAAACAGATGCAGGGATGGGACATGAAAACTGTGTGTGTGTTCGGAAGCTGCACTCAGTAAGAATGTGTAGATTGTCACCTGCTAATAGTTGTACGGTCAAAAAAGACAAGAGCCCTGTGTGTACTGGAACACAAACAGTAGTCACTGCTGACTGCAGGCCTGATGCAGCGGGAACACCAGTATAGATAAACTGGGAACCTGCACTTTTTGGCTATCTAAAGAACCATCCAGGGTTTTTATATTCAGTAGCTATAGATGTGTGTAGAAACTTCTGTTGCAGGGAGAACACCAGTACAAAACTGGGAAGACCTGTGCTTGGTGGACTGGAGAAACTTCCAGGATTTCCAGCATGAATCCATCAGCGCTGTACGCTGACTGAAGAGACTTCCAGGATTTCACATATCCGGCATGAATCTACCACTAGCTATTGATGGTCGAAAATCTTCCATCGGTACAGAGGACAGAAAAGCTAAAGAAAACAGGAGCACTCTCCAGGGGACACTAGCAAAAAATTGAGGCATGATGGTTGTGGACAGGGTAACCCTGTGCTGGTCAACTGCTTTTTTGCTGCCAGTGTCCTTTTCTCCTGCAGGCAGCAGTATAACTCGACAGTCTAAGAAGTCAAAGAATTCCTGTGTCCCTCATTACTGAGCAAAAATCAGTTACATAACACAGAACAGTTCAGGAACATCAACAGAAAAAAGAGGCAAGACTTCCATTGGTCTTTAAAGTTACAACTCTTATGCTGCTCATACTGGTTTAATCCCTTTTTTGTGACAAAGTAAATTAAGATGACAGGTATGTGTCAATTCTTCTACATGTGTTCCAAGACATGGGGACTCCCATAACTGGGGTTTCTCTTTTAGAAAGGATTAGGTTTTTCTGTTATTACATTGGTGTTATTTTGTGTGGTCAGTTTAGAAGCCAATAGCACTTAGGGGAGTTCTTGGAGTGTTCAGAAGCGAGCGCTGCAGATCGTCCGCCCAGACTGTAGTCCAGCTGTTCAGGAATTCTTATATGGCCTATTGAGAGTTATAAAATGTATCACAGTTCAGGGATTATGCAGACCACCTCTCCCTGGAGACAACCCCCACCCTCCTGATCCTATCAGTGTGCAATCCCCTGGAAGCAGAATGACATTTTAGGTAATTTGAATGTGGCATTTGCAGCCTTTTCAGTGAATGTATGGCTGATTGACTGTGACTGTACCAGAACCCGCCACAATCGGGCTCATCAGGTGCTGTGTGATGTGGATGGAAAATGAATTCCATCCTTCTGCACATTGGATTGTTTAGTATTCAGAAAAAAGGGACCAAAAACTTCAACTAAACACAAAGGTGAAACACATATGCAGAACGGTTTAATTTGCTGACAGATTTGTAATTAAAGAGAACCAGTCGGGAATGGGCTTCTGTAACAATCTGAATATGCACACTTAACCACTTGTCTACCAGCACCATTTGTTAAACACACTCCCGGTTGCTATAGCAGACTGTTGGCTTTTAGATGTATTATATGTTCGCTCACTTCCCAATCTACTGAGCCGACCTGTGACAGTTTCATTGTCACAGGTCGGCTAGAACTATGAGGATGAGTGAAAATCACTCACCTCATAATTCTCCTTTAAAGAGGATCTGTCATATCTAATATGCTATCAAATAGTGGGAGGCACGTTTAAAACAAAAAGTAAAAACATTAAAGTAACAAAACAAAATATAAAAACCACAAAACAAAAAGTTTGTAAAGTCCCCAGCCCCCACATATACTAAAATACATGTCAGGTGCGCCTACAAACGAAAATGGCGATTGTGCCATGCCAGAGTGAGGATACTGTAGGGACATAATTCACAGTTAGCTCTAAAATAATGTCCTGTAAAAGGCTTTTAAATTGTCGCCTATAAACAATTTGGATACCAAGGTTTGTCGCCATTTCACGGGCATACACAATTTTAAGGCTTGGCATGTTTGGTATCGATTTACTCGGCGCAACCTCATCGTTTATATTTCACAATTAATTATATTTACCATTCATTTTATATTTTACCATTATATTTTGTTTGTGTGCACTAACATTACATTAGTGTATTCTGTACTGAAAATTTGGGTTTGACAAACAGTTGCACTAATATTGTGTGACATAAAAAAGCAACATAAAATATATACAGTAAGCGCCCAGTTATCCGGCACCTACGGTGATCGGCAGGGGCCGGATAACTGTAGTTTCTGTTTGCTTGAGAGTTATTAGTAACTCTCAAGCAAACACCCCCCCCCCCCCCTTTCTCACCGGCTGCATGGTTCCTCCAGCGATGATGACAGAACGACACTCCTTCAGGACTTCGGCAAAATGCACAGCTGGATTTAACATGAGAAATTTCAGGCTACTGTGTGCCACAGTACCTGCAAAGACAGACACATTTCTCTTCATGTAAGGTAATAAAGTAATTGTGTTTGCATTCCTGCTATCGAACAGATGCCCATCAAATAGACAGAATTGTCTACTTGATGGGCATCAGGCTGAACAGGAAGTGAGGAAATTCTCCCCTCTTACTGTCTATTTGATGGGTATCAGGCAGAACAGAAAGTGAGGAGATTCTCCGCTCTTCTGGTCTACTTGATGGACATCAGACAGGAATAGAAAATAAGTAAAAATGTCCCCCCTCTTCGTGTGTGAAGGGTATCTATTTCATGGGCATTAGACACAAAGGAAGCAAGAGGAAATCCCTCAATCAGGAAACACTAATGAAAATATATATTCTGTTAGGATAAGGAAGGTATAGAACGGGTCATAGTTGTAGGCAAGTTCCCTTCACCTTTCTGTCCAGGTGACAGATTCAGACAGAACAAGATACAAGGGAAAATTTCAACAAGGACATGCAGCATATTAAATCATACTGAATTTCTAACTCTCCCCACTCTCTCCAAGTTTAAAAAGTAAATATGATTTTTGTACTTACTGTAAAATCCTTTTCTTGGAGTCCATTGAGGGATACACAAAGTCTTTAACCTTCATGTTATAGTGCTGCCTACAGGAGGTATGGATACAGACAAAAACACTGTAGGCCAACCCAGGGTCTAACCCCTCCTACTACCAGTATACCTCACTTTTTTTTTAGCAAAGTACTACCGAGATTTTGCAGCATCAACACCACCAGTTCAGAAATTATAGCTACAAGAAACACTACCTTGTGGAGGAGAAATTAATGTCTCTAATGGGTTTAAACAGTGGTTTCTGAAGCACAGATAAAACTTGCTTTAGGTATCACCGAGCCACTGGGGAACAGATGGGGGAAGGCACATAAAGGGCCTCTGTACAAAGGCCTTAATCAAGGAGTGAGAGGCCAGCAGTCTCTGAAACAGGACAGAAAGGGCAGAAATCTGACTCTTAATAGTGCGGAGTCTGAAATGCTGGTCCAGACTAAGCTGCAGGAAAGACAGGATTTGTGTCAAGGAGAAACTCCTGGCTCCTAAAGACAGGTACAGTATATGTTCTACTGCAATACTAAGCACCTTGTTAAGGTGGGGTGGGAAGGGCAATGTCAGTGTCTCTGTACCTGGAAAATGTTCCACAGCTAACATTATTCCCAGAATGGAGTCTGGAAATGCCCAGTGCCCGAAGGTCACTTCCAGGCTATCCCCACAAAGTCCAGTCCAGCGTGATTTGGACACAGTACTCCAAATGCCAGGCTGACGAGGACTGCAATCGCAGAGGCAAAGCTCCAGCAGACATGTCCATTGAAAAAAAAAGCAATGAAGGAAAAGCAGGTGCTGGGAAAAAACTGGTTGGTTCTTTAGCAATGTTAAAGAAAAGATGTCCATCCTCCTAGGACACTAGCATAAAAACATTGGAGGGGGCATGCTGGTAGTAGTTTCTACTCAGCTGGCCTAGAATTGTTCTTGTTTTTGAAGTGTCCAAATCTCCTGAAGGAGGATAACTGTCGGTATAACTCCAAAGGTTTCTGAATTCCTGTGTTCCTTAATGGGCGGGAAAAAAAAACATTTTGACTAGAGTAGGACTTTAACATTTCAAGCTAGAAAAGCTTTTGGGAGCCCTGTACTGTGTTCAGTTCATACAGTCCAATCTGCTTTCTTGTCAATACCACATCTGTTAAAGATGAGTAGCAGGTAAATGGAATGTCAGAATAATTTGGGGAAAGTAGGGGATGTGGGGCAGAGGGTCAGTTTTTAAAAGGAGAACTATGAGGCGAGTGCTTTTCACTCACCTCATAGTTCTAGCCGACCTGTGACAATGAGACTGTCACAGGTCGGCTCAGTAGATCTGGAGGTGAGCGAACACATACCGTCGTTCGCTCACCTCTCGATCCTGTCACGGCTCTCTGCCGTGACAGGGGAGGGGCTGGATTCCCGGGTACAGCTGGCTCTGCCTCTAGATAGGCAGAGCCAGCTGTCAGTCACCCAGCTGGGCGGATCCCGGCACAATTGTCGGGATCCGCTTCAGCTGCGGCGTCTCAGTATAACGCGAGCAGCAGCACGCGGTATACTGCGGCGTCTCAGTATACCGCGAGCTACAGCTCGCAGTATACTGAGCCTAGGGTGATGGGAGGACGCTAGTTTGTGTCCTCCCGTTACCCTAAGGAGAACTATGGGGAAAAGCCTTAACCCCATAGTTCTCCTTTAAGGAAACCCCCTTGAAAGCCAATAAATAGACAAGAAAGCAGGATATACCTTGCAGCTGTATTATGACTCGCCCATCTTGGTTAGCATTAGTTAATGCTGACAGGAAGCCTTCAATTTGCATGAGCGGAGACGCAGTACGAGGATGTCTATTCTCTTCACCCTCCTCAGGAATTTCTGCAGCTGGCATAGATACATAGAAAAGATAACGTTAATTCTCCAACATTTATGTTCAATTATAATTCTTCCACCTATGCCACGGCAACTGCAGTATGAAGGAATGTAGCTCCGAAGCACGTACAGGGCAAATGCAAAGATCAAGGATGATGTGCAAAGTGTATAAACCCTAGCAAGCAGATTTTAGCATCCATGTGTTTACAGTGGTGAGACCAGTTAATGAGCCACAGATACAATTTAAGGCCCTATGACTTACCTTCAGCCTGGCCCTTCTGGTTAAGGTTTTGTAAAAACTGCTGCAAGCCACCAGCCTTTTGGTTCTCCTTGATAGGAACACAGACTTCTGAGCTTCTGAATTTCTCCATGAAGCCGAATAACTGAATTGAAAATAAAAGCAAAAAGCAATTCTTCACTAAGCAAGAATAGCCGAAGGTCCAGATATTGGAGATATGGGTTGCACAAGGGTGAGCAAATATCCACGGACACATCATTCTTGGGAGAGATGCACTATAGGACCAAATGTATGCAGCCACCTCTCCAAAAGACTGATTTCAGGTCTTTCCGGTGAAGGAGACACCATACAAATATACTGTATTTTAGACAATTGTGTATTTTTAACCTAGTGGTAATAGCCTGGGGATGGCCTTTTCCAGTTCCAGCATGATTGTGTCCCTGTGTAAAGCCAGCTCCATATAGACATGACCTGTTTGGTGAAGAGGAACTTAAGTGAGCTGCACAGAGCCCTGACCTCCGCCTGACTGAACATAATTCGGAGCGCCAGTTGCAAGCTGGCTCCATCCAACAACATCAGTACCTGGCCTCACACATGCCATTTGGCTTAGTAAGTGCAGACACACTCCAAAACCTTGTGGAAAGTCTTCCCAGAAAAGTGCAGGCTGTTAAGGTCAATGGGTGATTTGTCCAGTCAGCTACAAAGAGAAGTATGGACAACGGCACTCTGTTTATGGATGTAGATGCAGCAAATCGCATTGAGTGCACTCAGCACTGAATGTGATTTGCTGCATCTACGTCAATTAACAGACGCATTTGATTTGCATTTGGAGTGCCGCGGTCCATACTTCTCTTTGTGCAGAGACAGTTGCCATCCGTCGACCACTGTCGCACCCACCTTATCTACATGGAAAAAGCAGTCAGGAGTGCAATGGGTTCATGTACTGTTGTGCAGTCAGCTATCACATGTCTATGTTTTGGAATGGGATGTCCAATAACCTCATAAAGGTAAGATGGTCAGGTGCTAATAAGCTTTTGGCCATATAGTCTAGCTGCTTATGAATGGTCAGCCATTGGAGCCTTTAATAACAATGAATGACCAGCACTGGATGAAAAGTCATGTACTGCCTTATCTTATCTTACCTTCCGGCTGATCATACTCCTCACACAGTACCTCTGCACCTAAGTAGAAAACAAAACTCAAAAAAATCACTAAGGGACACAGGTGCTAAACAGAGAGGAATGTCATCTTTAATTATTATTTCACCCCAAAAAATCTCACAGAAGACAAAGATTTATGGCAGTGTAAAGAAGAATGATTGAGCAATAAAGGTGATGTGACAGGTGGACACATGTGAACGTGACCCACGCTGAACTGACAGGCAAGATAAATACAGTGCTATAGTAAATGATCAATAAGGAGTCAAGGACAAGTCGAGTCATATTTAAAGACATTTTGAGGGTTAATGGAAAATTTCACTTCTACATTGAGACCAAGACCCGTTGCAGAGCCCTATATCTAACGCAATTCATCCTGGTTGTGCAGAACAGTAATAAAATGCAATCATATTTCAGGTCACAGCAGTCAGACCAAGACAGATTATTATAATTATTATCATTACATTTTATATGAAGCCGACAAATTGGAAGCATTAGATTGTTACCATAAAGCATTTTACAGGCAAATGACCCTAGCTCATTTATATTAGGGTCCGTTATGGATGGTATTAACTTTCCTGTAGGTTTTTGGGTTGCAGGAAGGAACTGGACCACCTGAGAAAACCCGCAAGCGAACAAGGGTTATAATATACAAGTTCCATCTAGAACCCACCCTGGTGGGAAGCAAACCCAGGACCCCAGAGCTACAAGGCAAGATTGCAAACTACGTATAATGGACCTTTCACAAGTAAAAACAATCCCTTTCATATGTGTATTTAGCTGTTTGACGGACGTTCAGCTTTAAAATCTAAAGTTTACAATATTCATAAGTGCCGTGTAATGTGACAGAACATGTCCAAAAAAAAAATGCATGAGTGCCTAAGCGCTGTTTTTACAGCTTCACAAGAACCTATTAGACATCATAACAGATATATTCCACCCACTCCTTCCTCTAAACACTGGATCACATTGTTGGTGTCATAAGGGGGTGGGGTCTAGGTGCTGGAAGGGCTGCCCAGGGATAGCCTACACCTCCACTAATACACTGAGTGGCCAGATTATTATGACCACCCCATCAGTACTTCGTTGGGCCATGTGATGACTCCACGAGATGACTTCGTTGGGCCGCCTCGTGACTCCACGAGATGACTTCGTTGGGCCGCCTCGTGACTCCACGAGATGTTGAAAGGTGATGCGAGGAATCTGACACTGCACTGTTGCCCTTCTGTTGTCTTGTACCAGTCTTGCCAGTCTCCGTTCTGCCCTAACATTGACTAGTCGCTGACGGCCACAATTCGCACGTTCAGACCCAGATTTTCGGCTGACAGTCCGGTCTTTAAAACACTTTAACAACAGCTGCTCTTGAACATTTAACGAATTCTGCTGTTTTGCTGATACTCCCTCCATGGCTCCGAGCGCCAACAATCATCCCACGTTCAAAGGCTGTTAAATCGCGTTGTTTACCCGTATCGTCAGAAAAAATCACTTCTACTGTCGTGGCAAACAACCTGCTTCCCTATTTATAATGGTCTGGTCCTCTAGCAACTTCAGCGCAAAATTATAGCTAATTTGCCTACAAACGTCAGGTGGTCATAATAATCTGGCCGCTCAGTGTATGGTGGACACCTAATAGCAACACATCACTGTAAAATTAATGCAAAAGGGGGCCTAAGGCAAAACAGTACGGGAATTAGCCAAAATTCTTACACTGCGTGGTTCTGTCAAGTGGTTAACTCAAACTTTTGTTGAAGGAGCTGGATCGAACATTTTCAGATGAACAATGACTGCCGCCAATCAGCTCCAGTCACTGTTCATGTATTCTGACAGGAGCGGGCATCAGCTGTCAAAATACAATAGCCGCAGCAGGGAATTTGTTAGATCTATTTGCGTATGGCCAGCTTTGCTGTCACTGCCATATCATTCACAGCTGATTTGTATAATACTGTTTATAGGATATGTTTGTCCCAGTCTATGTCTCTTCTGCTTCTGACTAGTGCTTTAGGGCCCTGTCACACCATGTCCGGACCAGATCTGATAGCGTTTCAAGCGTCACAAACGCGGTGCGTTTGTGATGTGTTGCAGTGCGTTTTTCTTTTAGTTTTTTTAAGGGGGTAATGTCATTATGCAAATTAATCTCTTCCTGCTCCATGTCATAGCTTCAGTTGCAATCCCGATTCCCGGTGCGGTGCATTTGTGATGCGTTTGGGTGTGTTCCAGTGCAGGAAAAATGTGACATGCAGCATTTTTTTCCTGCACTGGAACGGACTGGACTGGCATGAACAGAGCCCAAAAATCACATACAAATGCACTTTGATGCATTTGTGGTGCGGAAGTAAAATGTAACATACCGCATCTGATCCGGACATGGTGTGAATGGGCCCTTAACCTCTTGCCGTCCGCCCGTAGTAAAAAAACGGACGGACGGCACTGACTCACAGGACTGCTCAGACATCTATGGCTAAACCTCAATTAGCCACCAATAGGTCCCTGCACAGCTCTGACTTTACACTGCCCTTCTCTGTCTTCTGAACGTTATTGAGATGAGGGATGCAGACTAATGAACAATCTTCCTCTATAAGTGGAAAGTGTTTAAACAGTCGGAGGTCCTGTCAAAATCATTCCTTTAAAATGTAATTACCTTGAAGAGGTTGATGTTATCTACCTGACTGTAGAATAGGAAATCGTTGATGGATTTCAGAGTGGTGCCTAAAGAAGGAACATGGCATGTCAATTCAGTTCATAAACGAATGCTTTGGTTTATACGTAAGTGCATTATCGCCACCGTCACCAGATTCACCTTCTCTATTTCTCCCAGAGACCACTGTCATCTGCACAGAAAGTGACTGCAAATTAACATTTTACAGTTGTCACCAGAACAAGAGAAGGGACATTTACTAGGGATCCACCGATACCAAGTACCGTACTCGGTACAAGTACAAGTACAGATACTTTTCCAGCTCCAAGACTACACTAGAGAAAAATTCAAAAGTTAGGAGGCAGCTGTCATTTGTAAGGAGCACACGGAGCTCCTGGGATTTGTACATCTCTGTTTTAATGATTTTGCTTTTATAAATATATACTGTATAAGGGATGCACAGATACCAGTTTTGCGAGTACGAGTACTGATACATTTTAGTTTTTTGTCATGCGACAGATTTTCTAAAACAATATCAACTAATGATTTCAGGACATTGGTGGAGCCCCAGAGCCAGGTCCGCGCTGCAACTGCTGCAACCCTGGTAGTTCTCATGAAAATGCCAAGTATCTGCACTGGTACTCGAAAAGGATCTGTGCATCCCTAACATTTACCAGTGAAAAAACCTGTTATGGGAACAACTGTCTAAGGGCCCATTCACACCACATCCAGATCGCGAAAATATAATAAAGATACACTCACCTGATCCTCGGTCCTACCTCTCACCTCTCTCTCCACTCTGGCTGTGGCATGTCGCTCAGCGTCCTCACGTCTAATTGATCTGCATTAGATGCATCACAGGTCCTTAAACCACTGGAGCCCAGGGGAGAAGAGGCTGCGCGGACCGATCTAGCAGCCAGGCGTGACCAAGGACCGGGTAAGTATATTTTATTTATTTTAGTTAATTGACCAAAACAAGCCCCACTGCAAGGGTTCATTTGAAATCCTGGAGATATTTAAAATAAAGTTTTGGCTTCAGGTCTACTTTAAGAGCTTGTTTGAAAGAAATAAACAGTAGGAAAAGAAGTCATTTCTTACAAATCATTCCTCAGACAATTTGACATCCACTTGATGGTTTTCTCACTCACCGTCTTGAGAAACTTTTTGAAAGTTTGGATTCTGTTTGATATTACCTGTAAATGGGAGGAGATGATAATGACAGATACATTATCCCAGAAGCACGCCTTCTCTATGTGTTTATATAATTGAATAACATGCAATAAGAAAGAACAGGAAATACCGCTGAAAGCGGTCAGGTGGCAGAGATCACCTAACATCTGAAAGCTGCTTTCCAATCAACTTCTTCACCTCACACACTGTCTCCCAGCTTCTGAGGGTCCCATATTTTTCTCTTTTTACATTGATCTCAATTATAAGGCTATGGGTTGTGATGCTGTCTTACACACTTAGATGCTGGTAAACAATGAAGAAGGTCAGGTGGTTGACAGGGCAGAAACTATTAGATGTGGGGTGACCTGTAACTCTCAGTCTGAAGCGTAAGACTCAAAGTAAAGCTGGCCATACACTGTATGAATTTGTTCAGTGGGTGGGAACATTTTTGGCTGAACAGTGACATTGGGGGATTCATCCATCCACACTCTGTTTAGCGTGGATGGAAGAAACTGTTATATTTTTTTCGTTGAGCGGCGGTTGACAGCACAAACTATGCATGGCAGTGCGTTCGGTCTCCAGAACGCAAGACGGCCGGCTCACTGCGTTAAGGGGTGGGAGGGGGTGTGGCAGTGCATTGTGGCAGCCACGCCCCTTGCCCACAGTGCGATCACCCACACCCAGAACCCAGGCACATTAGTGTCTGTGTTTCGGTCCAGGGCTATCTGCAAAAATAGTGTTTGTAGTATTTTTGCAGATCGCACTGGAACGGAACGCAGACTTTAATGTGCCTGTGTTCCAGGAGCAGGGCATTGAAGTCAATGGCACTGCAGCCACGCCTCCTCCCACCCCTGAACGCAGGGAGACGGCCGGCTTGCGTTCCAGAGGCCGAACACACAGGAATGTAGAGTTTGTGGTGTGAACTGGCCCTTAGTCCGCAGGCTGAACAAAAATAATATAGCGTGGCATAGCCAGCTTTGATAAAGCTAAGTAAGGCTGTAAAGATCTAGATTCCATAAGATTACCTAATTATACCAACTTACAAAGGAAAATAGTAAACTCCCCATTATCCGGCATTTAAGCAACTGGCACTCTCAATCAACCGGGGAAAAAAAAAAAAAATCGAGGACATAATATATCCTCTTTTTTGTTTTGCTGTTGCTTGATAAAAACTTCTGTGGTCGGCTGCAGAATGGGTTTCAATAGCCAGCCTGCTATTGTCTTTCAAATTGCAATAGCCAACAGCAGGCTGGCTATTGTACCCGCCCACTGAGCAGAGGAACAGACCCGAGAGAGAACTTTCTCTTTCAGATCTGCTCATCAGCTCAGCGGTGAGGTTTCAATAGCCAATAGCAGGCTGGCTATTGAAATCCAGCCCATTGAGTAGAGGAGCGCACCTGAGAGATAAAGTTCTCTCAAGTCCCTTCCTCTGCTTAGTGGGCGGGCACAATAGCCAGCCTGCAATTGCAATTTGAAATAGCCAGTAGCAGGCTGGCTATTATTCCTGGCTGCTGGCATTCACCTGTCGGGTGCGGAAGCTAACCGGCAGATGAATGGGGCCGTGGGAGGGAAGGGCGCCGCGGGTGGTTGCTTGAGAGTTACTATTAACTCTCAAACAACCAGAAACTACCGATCCCCGTGGGTGCCGGATAACTGGGAGCTTACTATATGTAGATTCTTTCCCATCCCAATCATGACCATTTCACTTTAAATAGGAACTTCGAGTAAATAGGTAAACACATCTTGTAGTTTATTTATGCATTCCGTCATGAAATCATTTTATCAGGACAGCGAGTGCTCTGACAAAACGGTACATTTTTCAGGGTACTGGCAGAAATAAAATGTTTAGATGTTGCCTATAAAATTCACTATTAGAGCCCGTGTCCACTTTAAGAAATGTATATCACCAGGAAACAGGTAAACCTCAGCTGTACTTCTTTAATATCAGGTATAATCTCTAATACAGCCATGGCAGGTTCCCGAGAACACAATCTGCAGAAAATGGCAACAGTTCTCAGTGCACCGGCTTCCAGGAACCACCATCTGTCGCGTCAACCCCAAATGCATACTGACAACATGCTGCGCCCCCTCCGCAAGATTAGAGGATTCCAATTTACATCCTACTGTTCGCTGTGCGCTTCCCCTGCGCCAGGAGCTCCAGCATGCTCTTGCCAGGTATTTGGTGCCAGGCGGCATGGCAGCTAAGTAGGCTTTGCTAGTAACAACTGTTTTCCGCTTGTATTAATATACAGAGGCTCTAATAATTCACTAATTAGCAGCGAGGAACCATATGAAGAGAGTATGCTGGAAGATTTAGAAGCATATGTAGAATTGTTCTGTATAAATCTATTATTTTATCATCTTTCCTAAAAGTGAACCCGTATTTCATACTCACTTGTCATGCTTTCCCCGGCCCACCTCTTTTACCCACTAAGAAAGCCCCAGGAGAACCTAGTATGGGGGAAGCACATGACTCTCTTCACCGCCTACAACAACTCAAACTCACAATTGGAGGTGAAGAGTCTGTAGTAGAAGGGAGTGCAGCCCTGTGTAAACCTCAACCCAGTGTATGAATTCACACAGCAATTTTAAGGTCCACAAAGCGAGGCGGAGCCTAAATAGGGAGTATTTAACTTTGTCTGAATGGACACAGTGTGGGTTCACTGCTGAAGTGCCAGTGCTACTCCACATTGCAAGGATGAGCTAAAATGTTCAAGCCATTATTTTGTTCTAATTAAGAGTTTTAAAGTGGACTTTTAGTAACTTTCCAAGGCCGCATTCATACATTTCTGGCATATCACAAAATATGGCAACAGAAAAGCCCCGCCTTTTATCATTAACCCCTTCATGACTGAGGCCCTTTTTTCAATTTTTGCACCCATGTTATATTCCACATTTTAGGCCTGAAAATGACGTAAAACCCCCCAACATTATATATTTTCTGAATGCCAAGACCCTATAGAATAAAATGGTGGTAGTTGAAAATTACTCCCTGCAGGGATAACCCCCTGCCCTCTCCGATCCTCCAGGGCTCAGTGGAGGAACAAACGGGGGAGGGGGCGGGCACAGCTGGCTGTCTCTAGATAGGCAGAGCCAGCTGTCACTCACGCAGCTCGGTGGATCTCCACAGTATTGTTGGGATCCATCCCAGCTGCGGCGCTCTCAGTATATCGCCGGCAATAGCCCGCGATATACTAAACTTTGGGTCATGGGAGGAGATTAGCATATGTCCTCCCGTGACCCTAAAGAGAGCTATGGGGAAAAACAATTACCCCATAGTTCTCCTTTAAGCATCAGTCCAGTGACTTTGCCCAGCCTGAGATGATACCATCAGTCCACTGTAGACAGCCTCAGTTTCCTCTCCCCCAGTGATCAGACGGCAACACTGTAACTTTGTTGCAAGTCACAAGGTGAGAGCCTGCAGCAGGGGCTGATCTGTGTCAGACATTTGGGAACGCAGCCAAGAACTGCACAGGCACCAGGATTTATATGACTATGCAAACTCTGAGCCAGAGCCTTAGTCCAAGGAGTAGGTGGTAACCCTGGATGAGACCTACACTAAGATGGTACGGTCCTTCTGGGGAGAAAAGCTCAGTGATAGTGAATAAATACCTGGAGTGTTACACTGACACATTAGAACCGACAAGAATAAATATATCAGAGGCTTGGTCTACTTTGAAGAGGCCTTCAGCCTCAACACTATGCACATGTCTTCTAGATTTGTAACAGGCTACCTTCCCACAAGGACTCATACAGCTCAGTTCACTGCTGTGAATGCACTATGCACTATGCACTGTATATTACTAAATACTAATAAAGACGAAACAATAGAATTGTAAGGGTATAAAACCCAAGAAACAACTACACTCCCATGGGGCTCACAATGTCAAATAAAAAGACCCTGAGAAGACACATTATCTCAATGAGATTGTAGTAAAGAACATGTTGAAGCTCACCTCCCAGCGCACCCACAAACTTCTCCAGAAGAAACAGAATCTGTTTGATGTACATCAGGTTTTTGGCTTTGAGGCGACTCCTGTGAAACACAGAAAAATGAGAACAGAAGGCGACCCAATACATGTTCACGCATTCATCATTCCAAACGATGGCCAACCCTATGAGGCGTCCATGAGGGATAAGCTTTTACTATCCCAGACGGGGCTACATTTAGCAGTGTACAGTCTATCTTCTATGTGCGCCTCATTTACTACCAAATGTGCTTATATGTTTCTGAAGCCGGCCACACACCTATAGATTATCTGCAGATGTTCTATGGTCAGATGGAAAAAGTGCAACAAATTCCCCCACCTACGCTAAACTGTGTGGATGGAGGAATCTTCCACTGGGCCAAGCGTCAGTATCTTGCTAGGCGGCCCCGCTGGCTCACAAAACACCTGAACACTCTGATTGGATGGTGGCATTGTTCAGGTATTGTGGGAGCCAGTGGGGGCGACTAGCAAGATACTGAAGCCTGGCCCAGTGGGAGATTCCTCCATCCACAAAGTTTAGCGTAGATGGAGGAATCTGTTGCACTTTTTCCATCTGACCACAGAAAATCTGCAGATAATCTATAGGTCTGTGTGTGGCCGGCTTTATATTGAAGTCCATCCTGCTTTCATTTATTGCGCCTTTTTTATTTTAAGGGAAAATTCACTTGCAGACTTCATAATGCAAATTTGCGCGGGTAATCCATACACTGAGGGACTGCTGGAGGCTGTTACAAGTACGGCTTCTCTATGGGAACACGTGTGATTGTGGCACACATGAACTGGCCAGGTCCTTGGCAGAGGAAAGATTTCTGGTTCAGGAAAAAAGAAAAGTTTTATTTAGTTCATTATTTTTATCTTCCAAAAACCATGCTGAAACTTGGCTACAGCTACATAAATGAAGTACCGATATGTTTTTAGCCCAGTTCAAGTCTCAGTCTCTTTATAGTTCCTCATCCCCACAGGTTGTGATTTGTGACTTATTTTGGCTAGGAAATGCCTTAAATTACTTTTTACACCCAGTGAAAATCAGCTTCCTGCTCCCCCCAGCCTTGTACATCTTATTTCCCTCCTATCTCTATGTAACCTGTATTTTAACTCTTCATCTCCCTTATCCTGCACATTAACCACTCTATGTGACCTTGACCTGTACATGAACCTCTTCACCCCCTCCCCTCTGTGTATGACCTGTACATTAAAGGAGAACTATGAGGTGAGTGAAAATCACTCACCTCATAGTTCAAGCTGACGTATGACAATGAAACTGACACAGGTCGGATCAGTAGATTGGGAAGGGAGCAAACACATACTGTCACTTGCTCACTTCTCGATCCTGTCCCTGTAGGGATTCCCCCCCTCCCCGCTCTGATCCTCCAGCGCTGACTGGCGGAACGGAAAAGAGGGCGGGCACAGCTGACTCTGTCTCTAGATAGGCAGAGCCAGCTGTCACTCCTGCAGCTGGGTGGATCTTGACAGTATTATCGGGATCCGTCCCGGCTAGGCGGTCTCAGTATACCGTGAGCTGTAGCTCGGATTATACTGAGCTTTGGGTGACGGGAGGATGCTAGTATATGTCCTCCTGTGACCCTAAAGAGAACTATGGGGAAAAACACTTACCCCATACTTCTCTTTTAATAATGTGCTGTATCTAGTGCACTATTACCAAGCTTCATGTTTTAACCACCTCAGTACCAGCATGTTTCCTAATCCCCCCCAAAAAAATAAGATCACCTTGATATGTCTACTTTCCAAAAAGGGGTTGTTCTGGGGAGTTTGTACATGATAATTTGAAATGTTTTATAACAGAAAGTAATGGAGACGGGTTTTGTTTTCAAAATGTTTGTTTTTTTTCCTTTATATAGTATAACAAAAACAAGAACAATCAGTGGTTATTAAATACCATGAAAAAAACGCTATATGTTGCATGACCATGTAATTGATGAAACTATCACAGCAGTGAAACATAGTATGGTAATGGAGGAGTGTTACAGGCTGGTACTTTAGTGATTAAACCAAAAGGGACCTAATAAGACAAGTTCATTGTTAAGGTCCCCACACATCTTACGATAATCGCAGGAAATCCCGCGATCGTACGATTATCGCAAGGTGTGTGGAAGCCGTGCGACCTCTACTACTGTAAGGTCGCACGACTTTAAACTTACGGACATGTTTCAAAACCCGCCGAGCATCGTACGATGTTTGGCGGGTCTGTAGCATTTTCATATAAGATAAAAGCCGGACGGGCCGGTGTCCCGTTCGGCATTGCGGTCATCGGAAGCCCGCCCCTCAGGGGGCGTGGCTTGCGATCATCGCAAGTACGATCTGCCTATGCAAGATAGGCAGATCGTACGTTTTTTTAAGTACCTTACAACCATCGCAAGACAAAAGTCTTGCGATGGTTGTAAGGTGTGTGCCAAGCCTTATGGTTTACATACACTTTAATGCCATCTTCTCATAAGAGCCGCCTACATTCCAGGCCCCCCAGATGTCCGCCAAATGTATTCCACGAGTGTGTGTATGTTTAAGCACAGCCCTAGCAAGCTGGCAGGACATCAGTGAGGCAGCGACTTCAAATAGGTTATTCAGGAGGACAAGCATTTGTGCACAGCAAACAAAATAGCTTATCCATCGCAGCTGGAACACGAGCGGCGAGCTGTCATCTTCAGTAATGGAAGAAAAGAACTGGGGAAATGAACATGTTACAGGAAGCAGATTACAGAGCCAATTACAGTATCATTATAGAGAATACCTGTATCGCTCCATGTACTGGGCCAGCTGGGAGTGAGCCTGACAGAACTGTAATGAGAGAAAGAGGGAGAGAGCGCTTAGTCCTGGTACCGACAGAGTTAGCAGGGAGTCCAGCCAAAAACACAGCACCGAGTGTAAAAAACACAAAACATATTGTAATTACTCTGCGGTTTGCGGCACATTGGTAATCTCTGGCAAGATTTGAGTGCAGGGAAGCAATGGGCAGGCAAGGGTAAGTGCGGTGCCGCCGGCTCTGATCTTCCCTCTTCTTCCAGTACATGGATTGTACAAGCCAAACTAATTCAGCTGTCATATAAAGACACTCAGCAGTAACGTAGGCTGTGATCAGCGTGTTATCACATCCAATTGTTTCAATAATAACCTGTACAGTTGTTCCAGCTAATTACCCTGAATCTGCTCTTTTCTGGGGTAAGTACAGAAATCAATGGGAATTCCAAAAACTACCTGACATTCTGCAATGAATGATACGCTACAAAGAATGAAGGAAGGAAAGAATAATAATAATAATCTGTATGTATAGCAAAAACTTGCTGGCTGTGTCCTGTTGGGGAGATTTCCCTTTACTTCCTGTCAGAGAAATTCCCCTTTATGGCAGCTGCCACTGGAACAGGTGTCCCTCTTAAAAGATTTCCCCCATACCTCTTCCTTCTGGTAACGATACTAAACAACTTTGACAATGGCCACCTGGACAAATCAGTCAGGGCCGGTGCACACCTAGGCGACACACCACCGTGCGGCAATCGTGCACGATCCCGCGTGGATTGCCGCGCGGTCAGGAGTCTCCCAGGTGTGCACCGATCGCGCTGTGTGTACCATTATTTTCCAATGGCACCCACAGGGTGGTGCTAAAACAGCCGCGCTTTGTGTATTGCAGACAAAAGGGTGCTTGAACAACGCAGCTCGACTGGGGTGACATTGGAAAATAATGGCACCCACAGCGCGATCGGTGCACACCTGACCGCACTGCATCGTGCACGATTGCAGTGCAGTGGGGTGTCGTCTAGGTGTGAACCGGCCCTCAATCTCCCCCAATGGGGACAGCCATACAAACTGGACAGAGGGTCTAACGTGTCTCCACTCTATCCAAAACTAAAGAAAAAAGGTTTTGTCTTTACGTATACTTTAAGATGTCAGTGTATTTTGGGAAGGTGATATAAAGCAACGCATTTTTTCCATTAGGCTACTACCTCCATAATATTAAACCCCATCCCTTTACATATAGCCAAAGGTATATGGGCACCTGGCCATTACAACCAATATATAGCCAAAACTACTGTATGTGAACTCGCCCTCCAAATGATTGAGTTCAGATGTTTCCAGTGAAGAGTACTGTTAATGCCACTGCCAGCAAAAATACATTTTAGACAATTGTGGGCATCCGAAATCTTGTGGTAACAGTTTGGTGAAGACCTTTTTCTATTCCAGCATGACTTTCCCCCTGTGTACAAAGCCAGCTCCGTAAAGACATGGTTTGATCAGTGTGGTGTGGAGGAACTCAAGTGGCCAGCACAGAGCCCTGACCTCAACCCTACTGAACACTGTGGAGGTAAAATGAATAATTGATTCAGGAAGGATGTTGATTGCAATGCCTTGATTCTGGGCCTCTGTCAATGGGCTTTCGTGCGCTTCAAAGGAATGCAAAACCAGTTTGCAGTGCACAAATGCCCATCGATAGATAGTCAAGTCAGTGCAATCAACATCCTTCCTGAAAAGGAATTGTGAATATGCAAGTAAAACAATGACTCATTACAATAATCAATTACAGGGGTTATCTCCAACCACAGACTTCCACTGTTCTAAGCAGGGAGCACAGCATGCACATGGAATGTGCAAATATGGCTGCTTCAATGTGCATAATTTTTTTCACAAACAAGGATTCATGATATAAAATATTACATACAAAGAAGGATTCCAGCCCCCAAAAAAGTTAAAAAAATGTAAAATAAAAATACAACCAGCTTTAGCTGCAATGCTTACCTTAAACCTGGAGCTGTCCCAAGCAGTACTTTTCCGACACTAGATGCCATCAGTCTGACAGCCATCATAATTCATCAGTTAGCCTGGGTCCAGGCTGTCGTAGACCCACCCCAGTCTGTGATTGGATACCGGAGGAGAGGCAGCACAGTGATGAGCTCATTTCTCTGTCACTCCTTCCGTCAGCACATAAACCAACTGACTCCTTGTGCTGCTTCTCTTTCACTCAGTCTGAGCTCAGAGACTACAAGAAGCTGCTACCAATTTCAGACACTTACACTGCTTGCATTTATAAGGTCATTTAAAAAAGAAATAATGAATACAGAGCTGCATTAAAGTGATATTTAAGTCAAAAGGATTTTAACCCCTTCGTGACGGGAGACGTACACTGTACGTCCAGCCACAAAGGGACCAAATGACTTGTCACGTACACTGTACGTGACGAGTTATTTGCTGCTTTAGAGGGCTGTTAACGCTGAGAATCAGCTTTTAACATTCATTAATGGATGTCCTTACTACAGAGGCATTCATTAATGAAAGGGTTAACCTTTTTCAGACACCCGATACCTTAATATCGGGTGTCTGAGAGTCAAAGCAGAGGGACACAGATGCCGGCTTTTGCCGCCGGCATTCTGACAACTCGTATAGATCGAGAGAGAAAAATTTAAGTTTAAAAAAAAGTGAAAAGTGTAAAAAAAAATTGTGAAAAGTGTAAAAAAAAAAAAAATGTGTAAAAAATTAAATAAAATAAGGGACAAATGAATGAATGTATTTATTGCATTTTTTTAGCTGTGCTGGTTTTGTAAAAAAAATACTACAAATCAAAACACATATGTGATATAAATATGTAGCCCTATCTGTCCTCTAAAAAACAATATATAATATGTGTGGGTGCACTTTGTAAGAAAGTATATTACTGACGTGGAAGAATCACACAGCGAAAATGTCAAAAGTGTGTCAGTCATTTACGAACAGAAACTAAAAACAAGCTCAGTCATGAAGGGGTTAAGCTGTTTCAAATGCTGATGAAATCGCTTACAATGGTAGCTGCTCCTTGACGTTTGAAGTTTTAGTTTTCTGCAGAATCAGCTGGTCTCCTGAGCACTGGTCCTGACTTCCTGTTTTAAAAGGGACTACTTTTTCAAGCAGGGTCCTATGGAGCCACCTTTGTGTGTGCTAGTAAGCTGTGTGTGTCTCCACAAACACACAGCAAATCAAACTACTCCCCTCCCACCCGGCCCCCTCACCTCCCTCCTCTAAGCTAGTAGATGAACAGTTGCTGGAGTCTGCTTTGTCCCTTGTGATCTTGTACTGGACAGGAAGTTTAGGGAAGCTGAGACGAGAGATTTGGAAGCAGCTGTTCAGAAACACGATGATTGTAAGTATTCGGGCAAAAAAGTAAAGCAATGCTTGGCTGAGCAATTTTACATCTGATCTAAATTAATTATTGAAGAAAGTTGGAGAGTTTACTACTACTTTCATTAGTGTCTTTTACATCTGAATAGAGTTCAGCTCTAAGTGTACCTGACCTGGCCTCACATGAAGTTGGCTGAATGATGCTGGGCTTCATTTAACCCAGAAAAGGACAGTGCTGGATCACTGAGCAGGTAAGTCTGTGGGGGATATTGGGGCGCGCGCATGCGCAGTTCTCATTTTCGGCCGGGACGTGGCGACGGGACGCAAGGTAAGTCTATGGACGCGTGCACCCGTATGCAGACATCGCTGGATCGGAGGGACAGAGCAGTCAGCGATGGATCGGACAGCCGACGCACCGCTGGAGAGAAGGCTGAAAACATCAGGAAAGAAGAAGAGGAAGATCGGAATAAGAGATATAATTTAAGGTAAGTGCTAACACTAACATGGGGGGAGGGAAACATTTTTTTGCCTTTAATGTCACTTTAAGGCTGGGATTCCTGCGGCAAGAACATACGGATTCCTGGGGCGGGAATCCCAGGTATCCTTATTCAAGTTAATGACACGGTGACAACAGCCACATTTGTTAGAGGCAGTCCGCATGTAATTGTAGATGGCACGGTTACATGCAGTCACTGGACACATCGATCATGCAAAAAACCTAACTGATAAATCTATTTTTGTTTTGGGCATTAAAGGCACTAATGACCTGCTGCCACAAAAGGGTTAACCTGACCACATTCAAAGATATACAAAAGTTTTGACTTTTCGTTTACCCTTTTACACCATGATTTTTTTTTTTTTTTTTTTTTTTTATTTATGAAAAGACAGGCGAATAGAAGCATAAACTGGGACATG